GCTAATCTCCCGCTCAAGTCTTTGAGACTCATAAGCCACTGCAGACTCGCATGATCGGTGATTACCGTGAACGGCATCATCTCCACGTACGGCCGGAATCGATGTATGGCCAGTTTGGCGGCTAGGCATTCCTTCTCGGTCACCGAATAGTTGATCTGGTGCTTGTTGAGTTTGGCCGAGAAGAATGCGATCGGCCTTTCCTGTTGTTCGTCGTCTAGCTGGAACAACACGGCTCCTACTCCGTAGTGAGATGCGTCGCATTGGATGAAGAATGGTCTTCGAAAATCCGCGTGAACTAACACCGGGGCTGTGGTGAGGGCTAACTTCAAGCTTTCTATGGCTTCTATGGCCTCGTCGCTCAACACAAATCTACCCGTTCTCTTCTTAAGGGCATCACTCAACGGTACCGATATCTCGGCGAAGTTCTTTATGAATCGGCGGTACCACCCCGCCGTACCTAAGAAGCTTCGTAGTTCTTTGACTGTCCTCGGATTCGGGATGTTCCGGATCGCTTCTACCCTTCCCGGATCCATGCGCAGCGTCCCGCCGCCTATGATGAAACCCAGGTAGTTTAGGTTGCGGAAGCAGAATTTTGACTTCGCCATGCCTATGGTGAGGTTCGCGTTCCTCAGACACTCGGCCACCAATTCCAAGTATTTTAAGTGCGTTGGAAAATCTGCCGATATTATCAGCAAGTCGTCTAGGTATACGAATACGTTGGACCTCAAATTCGCCGGGATTACCTTGTCCATGAGCCTGCAAAGTTGTTGAGCGGCGTTGCAGAGCCCGAATGGCATGTGGCGGAACTGGTACAGCGGCCTCCCTGGTACAGTAAACGCCGTATACGCCCTGCTCTTCTCCTCCATCTCTATTTGCCAGAACGCGAACTTAAGGTCGACGCTAGAGATAAAATGAGTCTCGTCGATTCGCGATAGGATGCCCTCGATGCATGGAAGCGGGTAAGCGTCTTTTACCGTCACACTGTTTAATTTCCTGGCGTCTAAGCAAAACCTGTTCTTCCCAGGCCTCATCACCACCGTCGTCCGGTTGCTCCAGGGGCTGTCACTCTCCTCGATGATGCCCAACTTTAGCATTTTATCCACCTCGGCCCACACGATCTCCTGTTTGGCCGGGGACAGCGGATAATGTCTGTCTTTCACGGGTTCTGCTCCCTCGATCAGCTGAATTCGGTGCTGCAGCAGGAGAGTTTTCCCTAGGCCATCCTTCTCAAATTGGAGAAATCTGCGCTTCACGCTTTCCAACTGACTCCTCTGATCGTTGTCCAGGTCCCACATTTCCGGATCCGTCACGCAGTCGTCGTCGTCCCGGTAATAAGCCACCTCTGGGTTTGCTACCGTTACCTCAGATGCCTCTGGTGGTGTTTCGGACTTTCTGGCCGGACCGAGCAGCTCTGGTGCGATCTCGAAGGCTCGCCAGAAGTCGATTCCCAGGTATAGTTCCTGTCGCAGGTCCGGGCACATGTAAAATACGATATCTTCCTTTCTATTCCCGTATTTCACAGGCAGAACAACGCGACCTAAAATTGGGCGATTGGCACCCGCCGCTGTCCTCACCATCGATTCGTATGGCCGCGCTTCCCATCCCAGTTTCTCCACTAACTCCCGGCATCCTTGTCCCAACAGACTGACTGAGGCCCCCGTGTCCAGCAACCCTTTCATCTTGGCCCCAGCGACCTCCACTTCGGCGAATACTCGTGGGTCTATACTCTCCTCCCGTCTCACCGCTTCGACGACCTGGCGCCTGGTAATCCTGCGTCTGCGGAAGCGCGCACGTGCCTTCACCATTCTCCGGGTGGCTAGCGCCATCCCCTCCAGCTGTCGCTCACCAAAAATTCTATTTCGGGCCGACATGTATGCCCGAACACGTTCTTCGTATGGTAAGCCCCTAAGTGTTCCTCCTTTGCTTATATTATTATTATAATTAGCCTTATCCTGATCCTTATTCCAAATCTCCGTCTCCTTTCCAATGATTATTGGCTCTGGTAGGAGCCCCTCTCCTGCTTCCCCGCGGTCGCCGTCCCGGAACGCGTCTGTCCCGCCATCACCGCGCTCCCTCTGGGGTTTCCCGGACAGTTTTCACACTGCGAGCAGAAAGTGTCCGGCTTTCCACACCTATAGCAGAATATTTTCCGCTCCTTGGACAGGCAGTCTCTAAAGACGTGATCGAACCGACCGCAGTTCCAGCATACAATTCGGGATGAGTTTCTGCTTCGCACGAATGCCTCCTCCAGTTCTCCCGGTGGCGTTTCTGTAAGATGCGGTGGTACTTCAACCTCGTGGACTACGGGCCTCGTTCCTTGTGGACAACGCGACGGCTGAAGGTACCCAGTCCGGCTTCTGCGACCCATGTGCCTCTCCACTTCTAGGCACTCTTGGCGCAGCTCATCCACGGTGAGTACGTCCATGGCATAGATATATTTCGCCAGACTTTCTTTTAAACCACGCTTTATAATCCTCACCAGCTCTCGGTCTCTCAGCGGCTTCTGGAATCGCGCGGCGAGTTGACGCATGTGGTGGATATAATCATCCACCCCTTCGCTGGCCTGTTGCTCTCGTTGTAGAAGCTCCTGCATTACATCGTGTTCCGTCTGGTAGCCCCGGAACCTGTCCAAGAGGGCATGCCGCAGTTGCATCCAGCTGTCGACCCTAGAACGCCGCACGTGCATCCAATACCACTCGCGGGCGCGGCCGGTCAGGAGCAGGTGGAAACCGCGCAGGACCTCCTTCCACGGGCACTGATACTGCCTCTGCAGGAACTCTAGGCGGAACACGAAGTCCTCGACCGAATTCATCGCGTCCTCGCCGTCAAACTTGACGTTCCACCGCTCGAGCTTCATGTACGCAGTTTCTCGCACGTTGGCGTACGCCTCCTCCGGTTGAAAATCATCCGCTCTCCGGTCCTCTACTTGGAAATGGCGGTTATTCGGGTTACGCCAGTTCCTCGACTGAGCATCTGCCACGTAAACTGGGCTGCTGGACGAATACTCCGCCCCTCGTGCGCCTTGTCTACGTGGCTTCGGTGGCACCGGTGGTGGAAATGCCTCGCGCTGGAACACTTCCCGTTCTTTCGGGATGGCGCCTGTTCGCGGTCCCGGCTCGACATGTCTGGGCGGCTTCGGCGCAGTGTTAGTCTCGGCGGTTTGGCTCCCTGGCGGCCTAAGCACATCAATGATGCCCTTCATCATTTCCATGAAGCCAGCTCGCATCTCCTCGCGGATGGACTCGCTGATGCCAGATGGCAGAGCATGCAGATATGTTTGGTGGGCCTGAGCGATCGCCGCGTTTGCCGCCGATTTGAGCACTGAGTCTTTCGGGGCTTTTGGGAACTCCAGGTTCCGTGGAGGTCTATCCTGTTGCGCCAATTCTTTCTCCAAGTCTACCAGGTGACCCTCTTCCGGGATCTGTCTCTCTGGAAATCCCCGGAAATTCATTGGCGTTCGCACCAGCCCTCCAGCTGGGCGCGGCGGTGGCAGAGCCGACGCCCCATCAGCGTCAGAAGCCCAATCAGACACCTGTTCCTCAGCCATTCTGAGAACAGTACCCCTCTCTTCTACAAGGCTTACAACCCTTATAAAAACTTTACTAATATTCCTAATAAATTAATAAATAAATAAACACCCACTAACAAATCTTACTAATAAAGAATAATAAATCAATACACATCGACCACAAAAACACTCACAAAATTAAATATTTTTTTCTTTCTAATTAATTTCAAATACTTGGGGGAGAGAAGACAAATCCTAACACAGGCTAAATAATCTACGCATAATCTGGACAGTGGACAACACTTTAGCATTCGTCCCATGCTCAGTTCGTCAGTTTGACTGACGAACGGCATGCAAGGAACGCTACCTTGAAGGCTATTTGGTTTCTGTCGCACTTCTGTGCACCTTTAGGGTATGCTGTGTGACAGGTGCGGCGCAGGATCGGCTCTATATCGTCCTGGGTCACCTGCCTCCGAAGCTCATTTAACTACGGCCAGCACACACCAAACGTTAACACAGAGTGGGACAAAACAAATAGAAAACATTAAACAAACTCTAGTCAGACCTACCCTAATATCACATTTTGTCACAGGTTATTTTGTCATGGCGGCTACCACCAGGCTACGATGGACGGTCGCGAACGTTCACCAACTAGCAAGCGTGACTTACCGTCATCAACCGCGACAAGAAAACTCCCCATATCAATGGACACCATGGCAAGATCCGTCTCCGTCGCTCTTCTGGCCATTTTTGGGATATGCTGTGTGACAGATGCGGCGCAGGCTCGGCTCTATATCGTCCTGGGTCACCTGTCTCCGAAGCTCGTATAACTACGGCCAGCATACATCCAACATTGACACAAAATGAGACAAAAACTACTAATTGAATAAATAACATCTGACTAAACTACCCTAATATCACATTTTTTGAATCACGAGATGCCTTTGTCGTTGCGGCTACCACCAGGCGAACGATGGATAGTCGCAAATGTTTCGCCAACATGCGAACGGCCATCAACCACTACAAAAAAAACCCCTCATGCTTATGGATGGATATTCAGATAACCTCTACTTCCGTCGTGCTTCTCGGATTCCACTACACGCTGCGCGATTATGAGCTACCTACTCGTGCCACATAAGACTTCAGCGGTGTGGGTCCTGAAGCCAAGGGAGTCCTTTCCTCTGTACCTTCATTTTTATCGTATTTATTTTTCTTTGATTACACACCGACTTCAAAGAAGCCGAGTGCTTCTTCAATTGGGCGCCATATTGTTACGGAACTGCTTGTTTCTCAGTGGGCCGCGCCGGCTGGCTCATCGGATTCTCTGGGTGTGGTCCCATCCCTGGCCCGCAGTCCGCACAATCGATAACAACAAAACTACACGTCTGTAGCAAAACAGACTCACACAACACTACTCAAAATGAACCGCATAATCGATAACAAATATTCGGAACTACTAACTCATGAACAAAATACACAGCTGTAACAACTATGAAAATGTAAACAACAAAGGTAAGACACTCAATATAAATTAACAAACAAAACACTATTTATCCACCTTACTCTTCCAGATCGGGCCCCGGTTCCGGACCCAGCGTACCCGCCCTACCATGAGACGATCACCTCCACTCGTCTCCCTCATTTTGGCCACTAAATGGCCTATATTAGCCCGTGTCGGCCATAATGCCCACTCTCCCCAACAATATTATTTTAGCCGGACATGATTTCTTTCAATAGGTGCGTATAATTGGTTGCGTTTTCTTAAAATGTATAACAATCATAATCATTGCTTATGGCATTTATCTTGCAGCTGTTTAGGATCTCATGCAAGCGGATAATTCATTAACTTCACAGGTGCGTATTACTGTTGCATATATTTATACTAATTGACAAAGCGCATTAATTCCTAAATTTTTCTCTTATCTTATAGAATTAATTTTTTTTTTTATTTTTTTACAACACTGAATGGAACAGGCGACGAAATACTACAAGGATATTGCTAGTCGCCGCAAAAGAAACGCGCACGGAGGCACTTTAGAGGCTATCGTTGCGCCGATTTAGGAACAATGGCCCACACAATTACTTAAAACTGGGTATGTCACGTATTATGTATTGTATGTATTAAATCGCTTAATTCTACCTTACCCTACCTAAAGAGCTCTCTGGGGGTGGTAAGGGGCGATATAAATGCGTAAATTCAAATTGGGTAAGTCTGTGAGCATAGTTCGCGCAAGTGTTAATTTTAGATTTTTATATTTTACAGGCGCAGATGCATCACCTTTGGAGTTTCCCTCACCGTTCGCACTCTAAAGTGAAGCTCGGCGTAAGTGCCTATGTATGTATAAATATATTTTATAAATACAAATTAACTAAATTTAACGATAATAAAAAATCTACTCCTTTTCAGGGAGTGCAATTAGGAGTCTTCTTCTGACTCTGCCAGGGGCTCGAACGAGGATGGGCAAAAATATGGAACGGACTCACTCGGTGGATGTGGGCGGGGTCTCGCCTGTGGTCGCTTCTTCGTTGTTGGAGCCCGGTCGTTGGTGGCTCGTCTCGTCGCCTTCAGGTTTGCGCCGACGCTTGCTGGCGGCGTCGCGGATATGGCTGGTTTGCGCCGCTGAACTGAATCCTGGCCTTTGAGTGTTTCGGGGCCTCTCTGGTGCGCGAGCTGGTCTCCTTGGTGCCGGAGCCGTTAATTTTTGGCTTATTTGGTTGGTCTCTCGTCGCACTTAAGTTTTAAGTCTCTTTTAATTTTTTTTTTATATTTTTTTTTGTGACTCGAGCGGTTTGATTTAGATATATTTATTAACACAAAACCAAAACTTTTATTTCTCTGTTAAGTCTTTTGTATTACGTGCCGGCTTAATTTGCAGAAGGAAAAAATTTGAGTCTTTTTAGCAGAAATGCAATCTACAACTTTATGCTCACTTCGAGCTGGCACGCCCGCCGTTAACCGCTGAACAAATCGAACTCCCCGACATTTTGGGCAGCCACACCATCGGTGCCGAATTTCGGCACACGCATACATTTGCGAGGCGGGCACCGTTGCTGCTCATCTGCACAGCTGCATTTTTTTGGGTCAACGGCCCAAATGAAGGCCAAGGGCATATCCAAGGGCATGCGATCCACTCTCCTCATATTCTCTTTAAGAGCGAACCGGGCGGCCAATAGCAATCGTCGCTTTTGGCGCCGTGGATCGCATGTCTGGCGTTGCCACCCTTCAAAAATTTGGGCTCCGCCGTGGGCCCAGCTTCACCCCGCATACTCCGACCATATGACAAAAAGATATCGGCGTGGCCGATAATATCGCACGCAACCAACTGAGTAACCCTCGGTGCTGCCGATAACGTCAAATGCAACAGCATTCTTCATAAGTTGGCAGCCCCTATCATAAATATGTTAAGTATGTAAATATGTAATGTTCGCGATCTATATGTTAAACTACCGTGCATTTGGGGCCATTATCGGAGAAATAGAATAATAAAGGTCGAAATATCGTCGCCATTTTGATAAATGAATATGTTAAGTATGTAATGTTGCCAGCTAGTTTTTTTTGCATAACAGAGGGTATAATAGGAAAAATAGAAAAATGCGAATTTCTCTAAAACTGGCTGGACGATTTTCTTGATGTAAAAAGCAAAATGATTGATAATTCGCGATCTATATGTTAAACTACCGTGCATTTGGGGCCATTATCGGAGAAATATAATAATATAGGTTGAAATATTGCCACCTTTTCGTTATTATACGTGCATAAATACTTAAATGCATAGGTGTCGTCTTTTGCAGCAGTCTATTTTACCAAAGATAATGTTTTATTGTAAAATGACAATTATTTTATATTATACTGCACATCTCTTTCATATACAAGTATTTTGAATTAATTTGTTCCCGCTCAATACTTTATAGCATTGTTCAACACTGATTCCGAGCAGTGGTTCGGTTCCCGTTGGAGCTAGTAGCTCGATAGGCATTTTGAATGAACAACATGAGGTGTGCTTACATTTTGCCATTTTTCTAAAAAACTGGCTGATCGATTTGTTTAGAATTAATGCGTAAAGCTTCCTTAAACATGTATCTTCAAGTTGGTATACCGTGCATTGAGGGCCATTATCCCTGAGAAAAGTTATTAGGGTTCAAGTGCAAGGGTGATTTTTTACGGTCATTTTGTATGGGGCTAGCAACGAGGTTGCTGCACTGTAGTACAAATATCTAAAAAACGTGCTGATCGATTTTTATAATTTTTTCACGATTGGATAGGTGAAACTATAGACTTCAATCGTGTATATGCGGTTTTCGGGGCCATTATCCCTGAACTAAGATATTTAAAGAATGGCGAAAACCTAACTTTTCAACCCCTTTGTTTACCCATATTATAAATTAAAATTCAAAAATAAATGAATGTAGATAGTAAATAATTTAATTTTTTGCAATTCTGCATTTAAATTTATTTGGTTTCGTGCTTAAAAACATAAATAAATGCATTTGAAAGTGACCGATAGTTTTCCGATAACAAGTACCAAAATTCGACGCTAAGTCACCGCCGCTAATTTGACGCACGTAATTTATCCATAGCCATCAAAGCTATCATAAGAAAACCTATCGATATTGTTGCAGAAATATCGATAGTGGCGGCAAATAGTCGGCTCGATAGTATTCCATCACAATTTACCCGCACGTGTTGCATTGTTTTGATTGCGCTTATAATATTGTTTAAATTTCTTTAAAATGTCTAAATTCCTATCATATTACAATCTCTTTCCAATACCGGATCCCAACGAGTTTCTGGGCATGGCTGCGGACAAAGAAAGGGGAAATGTAATCACTACGCTGGCTCGAAATGTTGTTGTTATCTTAAATGTAAGTTTCAATGTGTTTCAAGCATTACCACTAAAACTTCTAATATGCCAACGTCTGTAGATTAGCACTCAAAAGCAGCTGCACAGTTGGTCCATGCCAGAAAAGTTGTCAGCAAAAGTGATATATGATCCAAACAGTCAGAAATACGTTGGCGTGTTCGGCAACCATGCGATTCGTCTCTGGGATGTGGACACGCCCGATGTGGCCAAGTGCAAGAAACTAAAGGTAATGTACTTCGCATGAATTAATGATATTTTATTAACTGTCCCGGCCCACAGTTCCAAAAGAGCATTGGTCATGTGGTATACACAGACCAGGAAGCACTCGTTTTATATAGTGATGGCTACTGTCAGACGCTTTCAAAAGCTTTGGAATCGCGCAAAAACCAAAGGGAGGACTCCGCGGAACAGTTGGCGCTTGCCGCCAGCAAAACTTTGAGCAAGCCAACAGTTCATACACTATCAGAGGGACAGAGAGTGCTCACTTATTTTGAAGAAAAACATGCAACGGGCGAATTTTGCCTCATAAGGCGCTCCCTGTCCAATAGCAGCAAGCGCTCGTATCCACTTAAGAGAGAGGCGGTCCGCCTAACGGGCCATGCTGTCGTTGAAGGCGACGCAGGTCCCCAACTAATGACAATTTGTGGGTACCACATCCATTGGTCATTGTGCAGAAAACTAATATCAAATGTATCTTACAGGGTCTGACAAGCGAATTTTCATGCTGAATCTGGCTGAGCGTTCGCACGAATCTGCAACCGGTCAATTTGTATCAATGCTTGCTGAACTGAACGTGGAAAGCAAATTGTCGGTATACGGTCTGTCACGCAACTTTGCGGCAATCTACGGCGCCAACTATGGCCAAGAAGGTGCCTCACTGCTTGTATATAACACACAGTTCAAGGTGGTTAATGCCAAGCAATACTTTAAAGTGTACTTGGACTTCTCGCGATTATGGGCGCGCGATGAACACATTCTACTGGCCATGGGTCAGAACATTGCCGCTGTGCGCTATCGCATGAATGACGAACTTCTGGTAGATATGCTGGGCTCACAGCTTAACGAAACACACTTGACGCCCATTGAGCTAGATCATATTAATGAAGAGGAATCACTGGAGGCGGCCATCAAATTTGGGGGAAACAGTCGTTCTTACAATACTTTGAAGCACACCAAACAGTCAAAACAACCGTCAAACAGTCAAACAACAGATCTGCCGCCTGCAGATGGTAAAACAGTGGCCTTCGAGTCACCAGAAATCTCAGAGCGCGAATTAAACGAAGTCATCAAACATCATGTGGATGGTGAGCTATTGCAAGTTGTCCACGGTCTGGAGGATGTTAATATTACGCTGATGAGCAACTATTACGATGAGGGGCCACAGAATTTGGCAGTACAATCCATTGTAAGACAACTGGAGCGCAGTGGAGCTGGTGAGCAGGAGATAACAGAGAAGCTTTTAACATTGTTTATTAAAACCCAAAATACGGAGCATGTTCTGATGTGTGTGCGGCGTTACACGAACATCTCAGAGCACATGCTGGCCTGGTGTTTGCGCTATGCTCTGGACAACACTCCAACTGCTGCCACCAATGGTGAAGCTCCAGATGATAAAGTGGCCGAGCCAGCACCAGTTAATGATGAGCTACTTAATGCCGTGCTCGCCTGCAGCTTCAATTCTGCTGCGATTGAGAAGCATCTGAAGCATCGTCTGGAATTGTCTCATATCCAGCGTTTGCTGCGTCATTTATATATACTAGCCACTGCACCAAATGTGCTGCTCGAGGAGCGTCCCAACCAAAATAACGCCTCCCTGGGCAATACGCCCACAGAGCTGCAAGCGTTTCAATGGCTGAGCGTTTTGTTAACCTCGCATATTACATTGTTAACCATCTCCAAAGATGAAGAACTGATGGCAGTGCTAACGCAGTGGTCGGAACTTTTTCAGATATACAAGAGTACTCTGGATCCATTAGCGATGGTGGTTCCTCTGCTGACCAACATTATTGAACGACATCAGCTTAAGGACCCGTACCCCACCATGTGGTATGGCATTGAGAAGGTCAAGCTTTACTAACAAGCTCACAAAAGTTTTCTGTTCTTAACAAAATTTGTTGTTAGTCATAAGCTTAATAAATGTAGAGCTAACGCCCATATATGTTTAATTTAATTTGCAAACGAACTGTGCAGATCATATAAGTGGTTGACTGCAGTAAATACCCTATTTTTATAATGATGAGGAATAGTTGATAGAAAAGACCGCAAGACGGACGTATATTAAAATAGCTTAAGCATATTGAGTTACTATAAATATTATTGGAGAGTACAAATTATACATTCAACTTATTTAAAAATCAAAAATACAATACAATGAAACACAGCTTGTGCCCTATGAAATCAAAAAAAAACTCTTTGATAATA